TCGGTCGGATAGGGATGCCGATGATCGCCCTCGTTGTGCTCACTGCCGACGCCGAGGTCACTCCAAGGAGAGTTGTTACCAGTTGATCGGATACCCACAACGTGGTGCTACCATAACCGAAACTGACCGGGGTCCTTCTCACGGCAATCGTGCTTCGCGCCCCTCTCCTCAAGCAGCCCAAGTCGAGGCCTCGGCAAGTCCTCTTCCGGGTCTGTCCACGGCTTAGTTTGCTGCTCTGAAGGCCTTGCTTGGCTCGGATATCTCTCATCCACCCTCAGCCTTGGTCGAGCCTTCGTCCAACATGGCTGGTACGTTTTCTACTCCATCTATTAATTCGGTAACGTGGGTTATAGATTCCGGTTGCAACGAGCATATAGTGAATGACATTTCCTTGTTGGATGCCGAGTTGGATGCATCTCCAACATTGCAGGTGAAAATTCCTAATTGTACAGGGGTTAAAGTTCACAATATTGGTTCGACAAAGTTGTCGAACGATTTATTATTGCGTCGGGTTCTTCATGTTCCTGCCTTCCAGTGCAACCTTCTCTCGGTTAGCCGGCTTACAGCAGACCTACCAGTAGCATTGATTTTCTTGCGTGACTTCTGTGTAATCCAGGACTTACTGTCGAGGAGGCTGATTGGGATGGGTAAACATGTAGATGGTCTCTATTATCTCAAATATTCGACGGCAATCACCACAAGGCCAACACTGTGCGGCGAACGCTTGATGAGTCAGAGATATGGCATTCCCGACTTGGACATCCTTCCCTAGTGAAGATGAATTTGTTGCAGAACACTCTTGGTTATTTCTTTATTCATACTGCAGACCCTTGTCGTTCTTGCTTGCGTGCTAAGCAAACCCGTGAGGTTTTTGTTTCTAGTACTATCAAATCCACTTCATGTTTTGAACTGATTCATGTGGATATTTGGGGAAGTTATAAGACTGCTTCAACCTCTGGAGCTCATTATTTCTTGACTATCGTAGATGATTATAGTCGTGCAGTATGGGTTTTTTTATGAGATATAAGTCGGATGTTGGTCGCCATATATTGTATTTCTGCAATATGATCGCCACTCAATTTGGTGGTCAATTACGACGTATACAAGCTGATAATGGCCCCGAATTTGCCACTAATACGTTGGTGAACTATTATGAAGAGAAGGGAATCCTCCTCCAGACTTCTTGCACAGATACTCCTCAGTAAAACGTAGTAGTGGAACGCAAGCATCGACATTTAATTGACACTGCACGAGCATTGCGGTTTCATGCCAACCTGCCTATTCGATTCTGGGGAGAGTGTGTTCTCACGGCAGCTTATCTAATCAACAGGATGCCTCTAATCTCTATCGGGAATTAGTGATGGCAATTTCAACCCGCCCCGCGGGTATTACCCGACCTGACCCGCGATGGGGCGGGTATTAACCGACCCGCAGTAGCGTGGGGCGGGGCATGGATATATACTTCCGACCCGTCCTGCCCCGCCCCGCCCCGTTCTAGACTCATTTTATATCAATTTCTTACAATATCTATACATATTTCTCCTATTTTGACCTTTCTTCAATTAGTTAGAGTCGATCTTTCAACTTGTTAGACTCAATTATCCATTCTATTATCAATATTTTTTTCATCCTTAAAGTGTTTTCCCCTACGTTTTATTGTAAAAAGTAAAATTTACTTGTATTTTTTTTGAACAACATGTAAGAGTGGATCGACCCGCCCTGCCCCAACCCGTAGTAGCGTGGGGCAGGGCATGGGAATTGAGGTACCCGCCCCGCCCCATTGCCATCACTATCAGGAATAAAACGCCCTACCATATGCTTTTCCGGAAAGACCCTGTGTACAGTCATCTTCGCATCTTTGGCTGTCTCGTTTATGCACGTGATAATCATCATGGCCTTTATAAATTTGGCGAAAGGGGGAGAGCAGGCGTCTTGATGGGATATCCTTCCGGTCAACGAGGTTATCGCGTGTACGACCTTGAAACGAAGCAGATTTACACCTCTCGAGATGTTAAATTTCTCTAGCATATCCATCCTTTCTAAGAGAGTAGCGAGTCCATGCTCAGCGCAGCATCGATCTCAGGGCCTCGGTTTATGGCTGCCCCTGACGGTACTTCTGAAATTGATACTGCTTCGCCAGTGGTCTTTTCCACTCCACCAGCTGAAGACGTGCTTCCTGAGGTTTTGGTTACTGCGAGTTCTCTACTGGACCTGCCACCAAGACTCCCTCTCCCTCGTCTTTGCCGGTTCACCCTTCCTCGCCGGATCCTGCTGTTGATACATCACCCCAGCCTGTTGCCGACGTGTCTCCACCTGCGCAGCCTCCTCTCCGTCGTGGCGATCGGGTACGCCGTCCCTCTACTCGCCTGGCTGGTTATGATGTCGAGCTGCCTGGCATGGCTTACTCTGCCGCGGCTTTATATCCCCTGGACGATTATCTCAGCTATCATCGCTTTTTCGTAGCTCATCATGCATTTGTTGCTGCGGTTACTGCCGTCGATGAGCCCAAATATTTTTTCCAGGCTGTTCGTTATAAGCAATGGCGGGATGCCATGCAGGTCGAGATTTCAGCTTTGGAAGCCAATGGCACATGGACCTTGGTTTTCCTTCCTCCGGGCAAGAAAGCTATTGATTGTAAATGGTTTTACAAGATCAAATTTAAAGCGCGCCTCATTGCTAAAGGCTTCACCCAAGTCGAAGGGATTGATTTCCACGACACCTATGCCCCTGTTGCTAAGCTGGTTACTGTCCGGTGCCTTCTCACCATTGCTTTGCACCGAGGATGGCACATTCATCAACTCGACGTTAATAATGCCTTTCTTCATGGTGATTTAGAAGAAGAAGTTTATATGAAAATTCCACAGGGTTTCTCGCGTCCTGGTGAGACCAGAGTTTGCCGTCTCAACAAGTCTCTCTATGGTTTGCGACAGGCCTCCAGGAATTGGTATCAGAAGTTTACGCAGACATTAATCGAGTTTCATTTTGTGCAGAGTCGGTCTGATCATGCATTGTTATTCTATCACCACGGTTCCACCTTTGTCGTGGCCCTCATTTACGTCGATGATGTGGTTCTGAACGGGAATGATCTCCCATTTATTCAACCGGTTAAGGCATTCCTTCATGATCACTTCACCATCAAAGACTTGGGTCCTCTTAAGTACTTCCTTGGCATTGAGGTTGCGCGCTCACCTAAGGGTATGGTTCTCAATCAGAGGAAATATGTGTTCGATATTGTCACTGATGCAGGATTGACTGCCGCTCGTCCCTGCTCCACTCCGATTGAGCAGCAGCACCGTCTGGGCCATGATCCTTCTCCCCCAGCACGGGATCCTGCAGCGTATCGACGTCTCGTTGGCCGCCTGTTATATTTGACGGTCACACATCCTGATATCGTTTATGTTGTCAATCTACTTAGCCAGGCAATGCAGTCATTGACTCAGGCTCACGAAGACGCTGCAGTTCGAGTTCTTCGGTACCTGAAAGGGTCCCCTGGTCGAGGTATTTTCCTGTCTGCCACCTCGCCTCTCACGTTAACTGGTTTTAGTGATGCCGATTGGGGTGGTTGTCCCACTACTCGTCGCTCAACGACAGGCTTCTTTATCACTCTTGGAGGTCACCCATTTCTTGGTGCACCAAGAAGCATACCGTTGTTGCGCGTTCTTCCGCGGAAGCAGAATACCGAGCCATGGCTAGTGCTGTCAGTGAGATCATTTGGCTGCCCTGGCTTCTCTCTGATCTCGGTGCTCCTCCTGCTGGTCCCACCGTTCTGTAGTGTGATAATCAGGCCGCTATTCACATTGCAGCCAACCCGGTATTCTACGAGCGTAACAAGTACGTTGAGACGGATTGTCACTTCGTTCGTGAGCGTGTGCATTCCTGTGAGATTGCTCCTGCCAAGATTGCCACCTCCGAACAACCTGCTGATTTATTCACGAAGGGATTAAGCGTTGATCAGTTTCAGCATCTCTTCATCATGCTCGACCTTCTTGACATTCACTCCTTCGCTTGAGGGGGAGTGTAGTGATCTCTAATTATTGGGTTAATAATTTAGGGGTCATTTTGTAATTGCCCATCTCCACGTTGCATGTGATCAGGAGAGTTAGGGCTAGGGTTTGCTTCTTTTCTTCCTTTATTTTAAGAACTTCGGCTATGGCAGCAGCCGAACTGTAACAGTGAACCAAGGAGAATAATAATTTCAGCCCGAGAGCCTCAAGCTCTCCGTGGAGTAGTCCCGTTCACCTCGAACGGGGAAACCCCGTAAAATCGCGTGTAGTCCTTTTCGCTTCTTTACCGTTCATCAAATTTTACATGCTTCACAAAAAATACAAAAGATAAAACTGAAGATAGTGGAGTCAATAATGAAGATTCTTGATGAATAAATGGATTACTTTGGAATACGTATAATATTGTGACATTAAGTTTAATTTGAGTTAATATACTCTTGCATAAGACTTACCTTTTGAGTTTCAACAAGAATCAACATGGAAGGAAAATGTTGTTAATTCACATGTTGTTGATGGCAAGAATATAAGGGAAGTGGAGATTACTGAAATTTAAGCTTTAAAGCTTTGTTAATTACGACAATCATATTGCAACTGGCCAACGGGCAGGGGTACAATCTAGTATTTGTTGATTCGTTACATTTCTGGTATCTTTTAGATGAGGCATTTTCTTAGCTGCTCGAAGGATTATATTGAACTACCATTAATTAAGTGTCTTATGTGAAAGACAACACCACGTATCCCCCATCTTTGAGATAGATATGAAGAAAACATCCAATAATAATAATAATCAGATACGGACTAATTATTAATCTCACCATACAAACTAAGAAAAAATACATATCATAATTATTCTAGCATAGTAACTAATTATTCTCACGAACTAACCAAGGAGAGAATGATGATCGATGATGATAATCAATCGCCCAAAAGACCAACAAGACCAAAACCCGAATACCCTAATCCTCTTATTCAACGTGCCCTACCTACCTCATAGAATCACAGACGTTCGCCAACGAAAGCAGGCGACAACATGTCTTCCGTCCATCTATAACAGTTCAACCCATTTTTCATGATCAAACACGGCCCAGTCTCCCTGACGAGCCAATGACAGAAATGGTGGCAGCCCGTAAAAGCATCTTCGTCCCTATACTGATGATAGACGTCAGTATGCTTAAATCCCTGTCCCCAGTTGAAATAGCAGAAGAAGAGAGTGTTCCCCCAGAAGCTCGGCCGGAACTTCCACGAGATGCGCTCGTGGTGCTTCAGAAAATGCACCCCGATGTCGTCGTCTTTCGACTTGCAATGAACCTTCATTTCTTGTCCTCCCTGCAAGTCATTCTGCACCATCACCCTCGTCTTCTCGAAAAGCGAATTGGCGGGCATGGCATATGTGGCTAAGAGAAAAACCGTCGCTAAGATGGCGCTGTTATGCCTCATCATTGTGCTTGTACAGAGCTTTTCGAGTTTATTATACTCGATCTTCAAGGTCGTTTCTGCATTAGAGAATGAGTTGATTGAGATTATGCTGTGGGTGTGATGTTTTTTTATATGTAGTGATGTGGTCAAGAGGTTTGTGGTGTGGCAGAAGTTTTCGTCACGTAAATCGCTCAACTAGTATTCAAAAAAAGGTTTGCATGGACTCGTACGAGGTTTTACGAAGAATTGGGGAAGATAAGGACATGAATCCGAGAGTTTTGGAAAGAATGTTGGGGGAGATGACTTTTCAATTCTTTTTTTTTTTTTGATAATGGTGATTGGACTTTTCAATTCTTAAGTGCCCAACATTTAGTGACTATCCATACGATGGTTTTTCTTTGGGATTTCCTCCTCCTTACTAGGGCTGGGCATGCGGGCGGATCATCCGCGGGTTTGGGCCGACCCACCCGAATTTCGTTAAGTGGGTGGGTCTGTGGGTGGGTGATGGGTTGCGCTGGGAGCCATCCGCCGGGTAGTGAATGAGTGTGCGGGTGACCCGCTCAACCCAACAGCAAAAAAATCAAAGTCGTTGGCGCTAGAGAGAGGAGAGTGGAGACGTTAGATATAAACTCGGACTGCTCCTGGAGTTTGAACCTCAAAGCCAACCTTCCAAATAGAGATCCCCTCTTCTTCCCTTTACTTTTTCCTCTAATTCTTGTGCCTAGATCACCGTTCTTTCCTTTGTGGAATTATTTTCCTTAGTTCCTTGCACCTAATAATCGTCTCAATCTGTAGAAAACTCTTTCATAATAGAATTTTTGTCCAATTTAATAACTAATTCGACATTTTTCGCCCTATTTCAACTTTTGGTTTCCCTCGATGATTCTCTTCACCTATTATCATGTCAAGTTGACTCCTTTATATTATATGCATTGTGATGTGGGTGAACCCACAAACCCACCCTCATCATCCACCATCCGCCCGACCCAAACCGAGACTAAATGTGGGTGGGTGGTGGGTTAAAAATTATCAATCCGTTTAAGCGCGGGTGGATGCATTTTATGGTCAAAATCCACCCGACCCACCCAATGCCCACCCCTACTCCTTACTATTAATAACATTGGATTTTTGGTAGTTAAATGCTTTTCGTAAATACAATATATTAGCCGCAACTATTATGAAGTGGAGAATTATAACCACAATTATGAAAATTCAAATTATTAGTCAAACGTTAACTATCTGTTAATAATTTTCGTTAGTAATACTAACTAAACTTTTATGTTTCAAAGTTATAAATTAAAAGCAGTCCGACGTGGCCGATGACGTGGCTTTATGCGTTAAAAATTCAATAACAGTAACGGACAGTTAGCCATATCTTGAACCGCAACAATAGTTATGGCTAATAATTTGATTTTTCATAGTTGTGCCTATAATTCGCCGCTTCATAATAATTGTGGTTAATATATCGTATTTAGCCAATGTTTTTTTCCTTTGGTTTTATTTTAATCAAATACCAAAGTAAATGATGATCATTTTTTGTTTTGGGATTTTCGTACCGAAATCTTAAGAAAAGTCATATGAAGTGCAAGAGATGTATGCATAACTTAAATTAATTAGTTATGGTCAAGTTTTAGTCATTGGATAAATCTAATAATTTATATCACATGAAATTTTGCTAATTAATCGACTTGTTTTGAACTCAAATTTCAATAAATGTGTACAAAAAGACAAATTGATAGTGATGCACAAAATGATGTTCATTTTAACATAGGAAAAATGTCCTTTAAATACAGGAAATCCGGTGTTTAAAAGCATGTTTCCTGTGATTAATGATTTTAGTCACGGGAAATTTACCGTAATATATAGCTCTGTGTCCAATTGTATACCGTGACTAGTTAACTAGTGACGATGTAGTTTCCCATGATTATTTGTACTTATTAATTACGGGAAAAACCATGTCAAATGCAAAAATTTTAGCACAAACAAAAAAAAATACACGGAATTTATACCTTTGCATACGGTATTTACCGTGACAATATTTATTCCCGTGAATAGAAATCAATAACTAGTCTTGGTATTTACTTTTGTATTCACTGTTTCTCCAATGACTATATGCTAACCACTAGTCATAGTATTATACCGTGACTATTTATAACCCACTAGTCAGGTGTTTTCTCATGACGTCCGCTATTATATTTCGCAGCCAACAAGACAATTAAATTTCATCAAATTTCTAATACCAAAAGTAGCTAAATTTTTGTTATTATATTATTTTGAAGACAACTGTTGATACAATTGTTTCTAATACCATTCAATAATAAAAGTAATTGACGTACACTTCAAAATATATTTCATTGAATGAAAACTAATTACAAAAATTAAAGAACATTTTCTTGCTCTGCTCTGCCCCTATAATTTGCTAGGTATGTCTTTCATATCCTCAAACACTACAACAAATTCGGCCTTTTATGACGAGGCAATTTTGTCATATTAGATACCAATTTTGTCATATTAGGTATAATATGACAAAATGTGTTGTCACAAAGGTTTGTCATTTTATCGCCGTCAGGATAGGTCAAATGTGACAAAATTTTAAAAGAAGGTTGTCACATTTGCTTTCAGTATAGCTGAGGTTCTGGGTAGTCTATTGTGACAAACAGAGATGTTATGACGACATATTTTGTCATAATTTTGACAGAATTGTTCGTCATATTACACCATTATATTTTTACTTTACATAATTGTGACGAACAAATTTTGTCATAAATGCATTATGTGACAAATATATTTGTCAAAACTGTATATTAGGACGAACGTATGTTGCCATAACTGCATATTGTGACCAATATGATTTATTCATCAATATATTGAATAACATATAGTTGAAATAATTAATATTCTTGTAGCATGAAACTCCGATCAAACATATAGTAGTTACACATCTAACTATTTTTGGTGTCCTAAACAAACTAATCTGGAAATTCTGAATCCCTCGACAACGCTGGCCTATTGTTGTCACTGCTGCTGCCGCTTATATGTTCATACAATCTGTAGAGAAAACCTACATCAAATTGAAAAGATTATTAACGCCAAAACCTATCGGTTTGCTATAGAGATACATAGAAGTACAAAATCAAGATGAAACTATTATGAGATGGGCACAAATCTACCTATTAATAGCCTAAATCAGTGATTGAGGCGTCAAACGTTAGTACCTGCAGGTAGCTGCTCAGCTAGGGTGATGCGAAAATCATGCCTCTGATGAAACTTGATAAAAATTGCAGCCTGCAAAACTCTTGAAGAAACAAGCTTATTAGAAAGTGTTTATATATTGCATATAAGTCTAAGCAAGTCTAAGATGTCCCTACCCAGAATCATGTAGTCACTTTAAAAATCATGGTTGAACTCTTATAACATAATCAGTGGAGAACTCCGAAGACAGTAATGATCAATCAGGATAGGCATATGAACTCTGAATTGAAAATTGAATTCTGACTATGGTATCCAACTTTAGAACAAGAAAAGAAACAAAGCAAAAGTATTAGGGAAGATGGAAATTTAAAAGGCAAAGGTCGGTCAGACGTCAGAACTATATGCATTGAATTTACCGGGAAATTAAGAAAGTATGATCAGACCAACCAGACCCTTATTCCATGCTCTTCATATCTAGAGATCATCACTACTGTCAAAATGCCACAAGCATGATCGACCTTCCAGACTGTCAAACCAAACCTCAAACTCGGTGTTAACATAAATAATTAGAAACCCAACAGCATAAAGGATGACCATATGCAACGAACGACTCACATCCAATCAGGCAGGGTATTCGACTGAAACCCTAATTCCTACTTAGGACTATCTTGCATCCAAGAGTGTATTTGCCACTCTTCATCACCAAGGCCAATTTGGTGTTGATGCTCTCATGAGTCTTCTACTGCAAATCAGACGCAAAATGTTATTTTCTAATGATGGCGTGATTAAGGTTTTCAAATCTAAATCCTTTTCCAGGTTCACCTCTGGCAAAGGAAGACCACAAGAAGACCAAAATCTATATGTGAAATGCAATTTGCAGGTGTTATCTAACTTGTTTGTCTGCATTTGAACTAAATGAAGTAAAGCTCTAACAGGATCCCAAAGCGTTCAAGTTTCTGAGGTAGGTGAAGAAGACAAAAAGCTGGAGTGAGCTTATCTATGTATGATTCGGCCCCTCAATCCCCTTGATTTCACAATATGACATCTCGTCCCTGTGAAAACTCAAACAAAGAAACTACAGATTCAGTCTTAGAAAGAATTGAGCGATGGAACTAAAACTGTATCGAATCTTCTCTTGACATCCGCATACAAATACTAGATGCTCAATCGTTAATAAAAATTGAAATAAGAAGACAAAGTAAAGTACATGAAATGACGGTTCGTATATTACGCAAAGAATATAATTGTTGCTAAAAGCAAAGAATCCAACAGCAACCCATTCCCATTGTCACTTCTCTCTCGCTCTCTCTGTATTCTTGTTATACCATTCGGGAACCCAAAAAAAAAATGAATGGCGAGACGCAAGAATACCTGAGGTGAACCTCGAGATGGCAAAGGAAACAGAAGTGGAGGCAGCGTCGACAAAAGTTGGTCGGAGACTCGGAGCTAGAGTTGCAACGGTGGAGTGAGGGAGGCAGTGCCAGGTAGGAGGATTTGGGAAGGCTCATCGGAGATGGAAGGCTGGCCGGCGCCGGTAAGGATGAAGGCCTCGCTTCGGCACTGGTGGCGATGGTGGCACTTGAAGCTGCGAGGGAGGCGATTTCACCCCTGCTCGAGTGATTAGGGATTTGGATCAGGAGGGGATTGACTGTCGACTGCCCGACATCACCCATTTTAAAACAATTTTTTTTAAATATCAAAACGGTGTCATTTTAGTCAAATTGGAACTTTTCTAGTCATGGTTTGGAATATCACAATATTGTTACAAAAACGAGTTTTGGTCTGTTTTTACCGTTTTTATCGATTCTACTAGCGCTTTTACCGATTTTGTG